TTTTTGGGATTTTTGGGATTTCTTAACATGTATATAAAAAGAGGAATGTACTAGAGAAAAAGCAACAATAAAATACTGTCCTTTTATTATAAAACTCAGACTATTATCTAATACTTTCACTTATCTCATGCCACATCTCTACGCCTCTTTCGACATTACATGATCGGCGATCGTGACATAGCGACAGACTCGCTGTTATAACCCCCAACACTATTTATATGTCTATTGTTATTCTAATATATTATATAACTATCTCTGCTATGACTTATAAACTATTACACTATATAAAAATAAACTATTTAAGTTTTTTATAATGTTATAAAACTATTTGCTAAATGATTACCAATATGTCAATTAGTTATGTAATATAAAAGTTATATTACATGGCCTTAACTATGCATTTTTCTTGTTAACACTACTTAAGATATACAAATTTTTAAAATTTTTTTGCAACTGCTTGGACAGTTAATAGAAAAAAAATTAAGATAAGTGAATTATTTTTTGAGTTCTGTATTAGATTCTTTTTAGCAAAAAAAGACATATGTTAGCTTTCATATATTTGTAATATTGTTAGTAATAAGTAATCTTATAACAATACTATTGGCAAAATAAGTGACACAAGTTTGTTACACAAGTGATATGAACAAGCTAATGGAAAGAGTAATATTTTAGAAATACAAGAGTCTAAACTATATTTCTCTAAAATATCTGGAATTTAAAATATCTTGAATTTATAATTTTTTATTATATTTAAAATATGTGACATCAATTTCAAAAGATATTTGATATTATAATAGTATAAATTTACAAATATCAATAGTTTTATTTTGTTTACTTTTAGTTTTTTTAATTATTAGTAAAGAATTTTAAAAGTATTAGAATAATTAGAATAAAATATTAGTTTATTATTTTGTTGTTTTATTTTATATTATATGCATATTATCTTTGAAGGACCAATAAGATTATATGTACTATTTTTAGTTTATATTTCTACTTTATTTATTTATATTGAAAAAACATATATATAAGAAAACATTTTTTTTTTTAGAAAATAATAAAGTTGTTTGGTTTTTCTCATATTTAATAAAGTTTTTCTTTATTAATTATAAACAAATATCTTGTTTATGACTTCTTTAATACAAAATATTATATATTGTAATATAAAATGTTACAAATTTCTTATAAATAAAAGTTTAATTAATAACTGTTCTAGTTTTTTTTAAAAAAATAATAGTTATAAAAATTTAATAAAGAAAAAGTTATTTTTTAAGATTTAAAGAAAACATAATAAAAATTAAAATAGAAAATATTTAAAAATTTTGAAAAATTATATGATTAATCAATATTATATAATTTAAAAATTTGAATTATATTATTAGAATAATAAATTTATATCTTAAATTTTAATAAAAATCCAAATAATAAAATTATAAAAAATAAATATTTAATAGTTTATAAATTACTAAATATTATTTGTTTTTATTTAATTATTAAAAACCTAAGAAAAAGTTTGTTTAATATAGTTTTTATAAAATAGAAAAAATCAATTTATTTTGTTTTTAAAAAAATAATTAATAATAAATTATATCATACATATATAATAAATATTTATACTGTATAGGTTTATAAAATTATTAATGTATTAGAAACTTAATAGCAATTGTAATAAAATAATAATTTGAAATATATATATAAGATTATTAAAAATTTATTACTAAAAATATTTATAGAATTATTAATTTTTGACTTATTTATTTATTTGATTTTGATTTTATTAAACAATCGTTAAAAATAATATTATAATAGATTAATAAAATCGTAATTAATTAATATAATATATGAAAAATAAATAAAAATATATTATATTAATTTTTAGTATAATAAATATATATACAATAAATTGATTTTTTGACAATATATTTTTATTTCATTTGATAAAATCAACAAATCATTGTAAAAAAATTTTATTTGTATTATTTTTTTTTGTTTTATATTAAATTTATATTTGAAGTAATATAAAACTAATGCGGTTTTTAATAAAAGCTATCAAGAAAAAAATTTTTATAATAATTAAAAAATATATAATTGTTTTTTTAATTATATATGTTAGTTAAAATTTATATTCTTCAGTTTTAATACAATAGTGCTTAATTTAATTGAATTGATTTATATTCATTAAATTATTCAAATATACTGTATATATTCAGTATATATATATAGTTTAATAGTTTTTAACATATACATTTGTATATCCAACATATTTTTTAAAAAATTGATTTTATCCAACTTTTTAAACATTCCATCAATTAATATTATGTATTTTTTTATAGATTCATATTATTTTGTAGAAATGTTAAATCAAACCCCCAAAAATAGCATACTGTATAATACATATCCTATATACCGTGTATACAGTGTGTAAAGAAAAAAAAATTTTTATTAATAAAATTAACATAAAATTTAATATGCAGTATTTTTCAAATATATCTTAATAAGTTTTGTAATTATTTTACATTAAATATTTAATGTAAAAAATTTTTGAAATATTTTTCTCAACACACTGAATATGCCGCGAATTATGGTCCAGGGTGACGAGCAAAGTACAGTAGCGGTCTCGACCAATGAGTCTAAAAGTGTCTAAAATATGCGTTGCGATATTTAATAAAAGATCATTAAATATACACACACGCATACAATATACAGCAGATTTGCCAAGATAATTTTTTTAGATCAGATTGTGATTAAAGTTAGTTAAAATGCTGTGTTATTACGGTGTACGCACATCAAAACCTTTGTCATTTCAGCAAAAAGAGGAAAGATACAACAATTCTAACAATACGTTCTCATGTCTTATTGTCACTTTTAGAAAAAACTTTAACGCGACCAGCGGCGAGTCCCAAGTTCGCACCCTGAAGGCTTAGCAACACCGCAAGACACCCTGGATCAATCAATCGATCAACCGATTATTACGTAACATTCACCCCTTTATACGCATCGCGCCAGATTATATTTGGTGTAGAGGGATACTTATTTTAAATATTGACCAACGACATTAATAGGCATATTTTTTGGTTAGATTTTAAAAATTTTTTAGTCCGCTTCCAGTAAATGTATTACAGATTTTTTAAAAACGCCTAGAATTTAAATTAACTATATCGGTCTATTCGAAATTTCGACATCATTGTTGTCATTCATTCTAACCCTTCGAAGTCAATATTATTTTAATATTACTTTTTTCGTCCTTCTACTAAAAGGTTGATTTCAATTGATCTTACAAAAAATACAGTAAATAGAACAATTTCGGAGGCTTATACAAATAGAAAATAAACAATCATTAGATCCATGATTTACCGTGTGACGTGGCGTTGACTACAGGGTCTTTGTGTGGAGAATACAACTACCAAAAAGGGATTAGCACTGATAACGCGCAAAAATGGATCATTGTTAAATTGTGCAATCACGAAAGTACATGCGTATTTCTGGGTATAGAAATTTCCCACCGTAATTTAAATCTAGAGATCATGTGCAACAAAAGCATTAGATGATCGTTTTTTAGAAATTTGGGCAGGTGCACATATCATGAGTTCGCTACAAATGTGCTATGTATATGGGTAATTCTTTTTGAAGGCGGACGGGGATTTTTCAGACTTTATAATTGTACTCCTAGAGTTTATATTGTATATGTATTGTTCAAATAAAACATTTTTGTCGTTTTCAAAAAGAATCAGCCATATTCCTAGAATTTCCGAAAGAATCACATCCTAAAAAACCAATTTATAGAAATTCCTAACCATATCCGGCTATTTCAGATTTGGAGGATATAAATAGTTTCCACCATACGTATACTGTTTGCTCATCATCTTTACATTGATCTCATACTGCTACGGTTTATCTATATCATATGGTGAGATCTGTTCTTTCCATCATTGTCATGCTTCTTCACTTTATTCCAAGATAACCTTATGATTTAGGAGATCCCTGGGCTTTGTTATAGGAACAGAACGTAATTATACTTTTAAATCCAAAAATACATCGAGAATTTCGGAATAAAAATTTTTTTGCTTTGTGAATGAAGGTAACCAATTTTCATGTGGTTAGTGAGTTATGACGCAAGAATCTTTAGGATTTATGACTTAAAATAACAACTCTAATACGATGTTGGTAAAAGCATGGAACCTAAAAATAGGTTTTGTTCCTAAAATAACAAAATTCAACATGGAGTGAAAGCGATTCGAAGCAGTGATTCCTTATAAATGTAGATTAAGAAATCTCATATAGTTGTTCCGGTACATCAAATGTTGAAGCATATGGACACGAATTACCCATTTTAGTTAGGCGCGCAATCGCGAAATATGTCAAAAATATTTTTTCCAGACGCACTGTTTTCCCTATATAAAGCGTCGAAAAAAATTCCCCTACAATTAACTTCGCTTCATCGTTACAAAATGTTCAAGTCATTCGAGTTATCCATACTTTTGATCATTTTCGTAGTTATTACATCTAGTGTCGTGAGCACACCCATACTAAATATCCGTGATACGGATCCAAACCAGCAGAGCGCCACATTGGTAAATAACAGCATCTACTGTTCGTTTCTTCCACCAGATTATGGCGGTAATATTTCTGGTAGTGAAGATGACGCAGTCGCATTTTGCAATCAAGTCCCGGAGGGACTTAATGTTAGAATCCTTCCCGACAACTTCATCAAATCGTACCATTTCGCCACTGGGGATGGCTATATCCAGGTCACTGGCACTATTAACAGAGACGCATACGGTTTAAGTGCAAATGATGAGGGTGGTCAATACGATGCCAAAGCCCCTAGAGGTGCAAAATGTGTGGGATATAAAAACTTTGTGAATTTGGTCGAGCCCGACGCTGAATTGTTCTGTATTCGCTGTTGTACTGATACTTCCCAATGTGATACTGGTCACAGCACTGATGGATGTAAGAAAGTCATTCCTGGAGACTACAGCTAAAATAAGGTTAATACAGTACGACACAGAGATCATTGATAATTCATTAATCCTTTAATAGTCAGTGGTCAAATTCTTTATCATGTATAGTAAATATTTTTCTTTATACAGTATATATATTTTTATGCTTTATTGTTTTATTGTCTCGCCGAGACTCCTAATTTTTCTCAAATAACTAATGTGACATTGCGTCATTCATGTAATTAATAAAGTTTTTTTTTCGTAAATTAAAAATCAAATTTTGATTTGCGAGTGAATTAAAACGTCACCGATTGATCAACATAATCGTTAGATCCCATGCGAGTTTCACGGGTCATTAAGTAGTCCTTAATGGACAGGTCGTGCTTGAGGGTTTACAGTAGAAGCTAGTTTCACGGTCGAAAAATTATATAAAGAAGGACATTAACTACTGTATTTTCATTTTTCATGATACTGTACTCGCATTACTATGTATTATATATACCGTAAAAAATAATTACAGTATGTATAGTATAATTATGTATCGTACAAAATAATTATGTATCGTATAGAATAATAAAACTCTGGTCATTCATATAAGCGACGATTCCATTTTCTGTCACTAACTTTGCCAATCTTTTCAGTTCAGATAAGGCTAATGTTACAGTAGAAATATTTTAGGTTATACGTAGCAGTTTACGCATTTTGGATATTGTGGGTGGCGTTGGAAAAGTAAACCAAAAATGATTTGGCGATTAAATAAGTTAAAATTCATAATGAAACTATAGTCGATGTATTTCTTAACGAGAATTTATTGATTATACGCGCGTGTAAATCGGAATTCATTAAAACTTTAAAGAGAATTTTATATTATTAAACAGGAATGAATGCCTGAACAGATAAAAAAATGAAATTATGTATTTACACGAAAAGACGTTGCTATAGGGATTGGTACAGTAACGTACGTAGTAAGTTGATTTTATTTCAGCATCCAAGGAATACTGTACTCTTATCCTTTAGCGAAACATAAAACTTGCTTATTTTGAACTGTATAAATAAATGATCCTTACTATTTTAAGAACACAAGCAAGAAGTCAGGTATTTGCAGTTTAGGTGTTTTACTATGGAACTCATAAGAGGATATCCACCTTTTTAATTCGGAAGTTGGTTTTTTAGATTTTATTGGATTAGAAAGAGGCGATAATAGAGGAGCTTCTCAATGATATATTGATATTTATGGAATAAAGATACAGTGTGTAACAAAACTTTTTGGAATTTTTTATTATTCATTACTCAAAAACTACTGCATAGAAATTAATAAAAAATATATCAAAATAAAGCTGAAAATCTAGAGATTTT